AGAAATTGTGGATCTCTTGTGCTGGTGCAGGCCCTCTCCAGTTGGCCTTTCTGGCACTGTTGGCTTTGCATAATGCTAAATCCCACACGTACACATGTACACACACATCGCCCCACATTGTTTGGGTAAAATAAGTCAGGTTGTTAGGTTAGACAAGAAGTATCTCCTAAACATCAGATGATCAATTTATCATCAGAGCACTGAATCTTATCATTTTGTTTTTTGACACAATTCATTGTAACAGGAGCAGTGTGTCAAGTAGAAAATCTAAGGGCTTGTTGTTGATACAAACATTGGGGTTTTTTTACCTGTTTTAAAATCTGTCTTTGTGGTCTGCAGATTTACAGGTGATATCAATTGGTATATTTCTAAAGACCAGGCAACTACGGACCCTTGGCGTAAAGGAAATAAATATATCCTAACCCCAGTGACTTGCTACATACTCCAGGAGGATCATTAAATCAAGTCAAAATTATTTCTGTAATATTTACACTGTGAGAGTGGAGTTTCTTTTTACTTCTGTATCTAAAAATGTTACTGAAGCTATATGCATAGGAGTGGTAGTGAAGTTGTCCCCCACAAGCACCAGAATTGTAATTGGGGATTGCTTTTGTGTTTGTTTGATATATTCATATCAAATATCATATACATTCATATTCATTCTCCCTTCTCCTGCAGGGTTTTCCTGACCTCAACAAACTATACAGAAAAACTGAAGACAACTAAACTGCTCTTGTCTCCACACTCACCAGAAGCTCGTCCTTCCTGTTAGTTACTCCTTTTCCCTCTCCCTCTTGCTGACCTTCCCACAGCACTGCTCGAAATCCTTTCCTAGTCATTTCCTCCCCATCACTGAAGTGGTGCATTTCCATTTCTATTTCCCCTGCTATGCCCTTCTCTGGTTCCAAGCCATTTTCTGCCTCAGCTTCCCAATTATGCATTCATTTCTTGGTCTTGAGGAAATTGGTTTTGATTGGAGAGTTACTGATCATGCACAGTTGTGGGTTTTTTTCCCCCTAAGAATCCTCACCATCTTAGCATCTAAATGTCATTTCTGATAAGCCTGTAAAGTGCCTCGCTCGCTATCCATCATGTAATTGTGCAGTGGTCCACATGCACTTTATAAAGTGTACCCATCAGTTCAAAGCAGGAAAGTGTCTGTGGCTCACTGCATTGTGTATAAAATGTGCAGGTGTCTGTAGGAGTGCTTGCTTCAATCATTGAGCACCTTGCCTGTGAACGATTTTCAGAGAGTTATGCAGTACTACCAGGTTGTCACAAAAAAGTGTCTGTTGTATTACTTGAACAATACTTTGCAATCACACAGTGTTGCTCAATTCACTTTATCACAGGTCTTGTGATATTTGGTATTTTTCTTAAAGCCCCAGATCCTGGAGACAAGTGATTACATAAGAATCTCAGCTTTCATTTAAAAATAATAACAACAACGTACGTTTCTAGTTCTCGTGGATGTGCAGAAGAGCTGGAAAAGTGACCCAATTGCACCGTAAAGCCTCAAAATATAGTAAGCAAATAAAAAGCCCCCCAGAACTGTTGGCTTTTATAATCTCATGATTTTTAAAACAAATTCAGTTGGGGGAGGGTGTGTGTGTGTGTGTGTCAAATCCATGATTTTTGAATAGTTGGGGTTGGCAATGCTGGATCATGTAACAAAATGCTATAATGAATGCATACAAAAAGGAGATACAGTAAAAGCTGTATAAGCAACCCTAGCATTAGCATCCTCTTAATTAACAGTACACACTCAATGTTCTTTTAACATAGTTCTATATAAAACATATATGTACACATATGAATATTTATAGGGCTGGTTAATCTTTTCTTCAGCTTGATAGTGTAGGGCTTTGCATAAGCCAGTGAAAACTGGGCTTGGTGCAACAACATTATCCTAACACTTTTCAATCGTGCCATTACTAGAATGAATGGCATGCTAAAAGAACCCAGGTCAAGAACGCCAAGCAGAAGGACAATCTCAGAGAGAAGGAAAGCTGGGTGACTCATCAACAATCAGTGCTGTGGCAAGGAGGCTGCACCAAACAGGGCATCAGGGCCTACTTTTAAATCCTCACCCTCTGTTCCTTGAATGATCAAATGGCAGGCAGGTCCCATTCATTCATGTCCATTAACAAAATAGAAATGTGAGCATTCATACAATATCTTCCCTATAAATAAGCTACATGTGTCCTGTCTTTACACTTACATAGGCTGAGTTATGCCAATAAAAGTTGAGTGGCGTTATCATTTTGTTCCTTTTCATTTTAAATTTACAGTGACTATGTTCAGACAATAATCCTGTCTCTTAGCTCAGCAACATCTAATATTACAGTTAAAAAAAACCCCTAGAATCATTTTATCTATAGCCCTTTCTTTATTATCCTGTACTGTGATAAATAGACGAAACATTTTTTCAAAGGGGGTACTTGAATGAGTTCTGCAACAGGATTTTCTTTAAGGTTGTACTTTAAGGGCATAGAGCCTATGACAGATCAATTGGCTACTGTATTTTTAAAGGCTATGGAGACCACTTTTAAAGTACTGTCACTAGGTCTTTAAGGAATAGAAGAAATAAACTAGCCTTTTAAAAGATTACCTACTATTGCTTGATTTTAAATAATTAAAGTAAGTGTATAGTAGGCTATAACTTTGCATGGTCAGTAGTGCACATTTGTACTGATGACTTTCTAATAACACCTTGTTTTGAAGGTGAAATGGAAAGCGATAAATTATGTAAACTTCTCCACATATAGTTCTGAAACATTGTGTGATGCAAATTAAATGTATAAAATGTTTGGATGAGACGTCCAACTTGTACATAAGACAAATTAGGTTTACCCTTGCAAGTAAGAGAATATACTAAGATATGATACAAACATTGCTTTTTAAAAAAATTGTGAAAGCAATTTATATATTTTTTAAAGAAAGTTAACATTTTCAGCATATTTTTACATTTTTCAGACCATTAGATAAGAATAATATGTGAAATGAGTTGTTAGAGTTGGTGATGAACCTTGCAGAGTATCTATCTATTCTTTTACAATGAATCTAAATAAAATGTCAATAGATCTGGAATGCAAATGGAAGCAAATACTGATAAAGACAAAACCATGCATGTCAACAACAGTGTTAAAACCAACGTACTTAATTAAAAAAGTGAAGTCAATTAAAATCAAAACAACAGTGCAGCAAGTACAAATGCTGGAATAATCATTAGGCTTTGCTGAATAATGGAGGACTATAGAATTTTTTAAAGTGAAACAGCAGGGGTGATACATTACACAAAGCAACAGTCTACAACAATATGACAATTGAATTACTTCAGCCCCATTAGGCAGGTGCAGAAGAATAATTAACATGAATTTCTCCAGTGGAAAGGGAAAAAATAAACTTTTTTGTCTAATGCAAACTACTATTTCCCTGCCCCCACCCCCAAATTGATGAGAAAATATGAGAAGGAGCCAAGTGATTAAAAACAGTGGCTTTATGCCATTGTTGTGAGGTTGGGTAATTGTGGGATAAAATATGCAGACAGTGTATTCTCTAACAGCCTGACAGTGTTAAAACAGGCCAGGATGGCAACGCTTTAACTTTTTCTGTTCTGTCTGTGTATAAGCTTTGCTTGTTTAGATTAAAAACAAAATATAAAAGATGTGCTCTAGTTTTTGATTTTATAATCATCTTCTGATATACAAGGCATCCAGTCTCGCCTCAGGATCTATCTGATATCTAGTTTTCCATTTCAAATTCAAAACAAATTGTGACCTCCAATTTCAATCTGTTCCCTAAAATGCCAAAAAGAGTGAAAGAACTTCACATTGCTCTTGAAATGTAAGCAGGTTCAAAAACGACCGTTCTTTCCAAAAGAACCATCCTATTCTAGAATCTTCTGATTAAAACCAGAACAAAACAAAAAAACACTTTTCTTTACTTCCATTGGGAACTATTGATATTGAGAGAAATGGCTGTATAGTTTAGGGGGAAGATCAGAGACATTTGATTTTCTTTAGGATTAAGAAACTGGGAAAACTCCAGCCTTCATCTTGCAATGACCTCCCTCCTTTAGAAATACAGAAATTAGGTCACATTCATATCTTTTAGTAAATATATCATGAATCAGATCACACAGAATAGAAAGAGACCTGAACCTTTGCCCAAAATTCAAACCAAACCCAAACTGAAATGAATTTTTGAAACACTATAAATGATCAGCCATCCTTTAATATACAGTATTTTGTAATTCACATACTTATGAGCTTCTTTGACGGACACTGGAAGCTCAGGTGCCAAAACAACATGAACATTACCTTAGTTCCAGGAATATCTCCTCTGAAGCCAGGAAATAGTACTGTAACCCCTGCTAAAAATTCTGATTTGGTTCTGCTTCTGGCTTGTCGGGGTTAGTTACAGTATTGTGCTATTGCTTGTCATGTTGATTCCCCCCCCTCCGTCCGCCCCAGAAGGGAGGGTTGGTCTTTGTGCAGACGTCCCTGGCTGTGACCTGCAATCCCTCTCCCAACTCTAGGAACCGCCCACCTGACAAGTGGTGTCATGAACAGGAGTCAGGGAGTTTAGCTAGGGATCCCTGGGGACAATGCCTGAGGTTCCGGGGACACCTTTGAACCATACAGACTCTCCCACAACCCCCTCCAACCTCGCATCCCTCCTGGCAGCCAGCCTGGCTCCAATGACTGATATATCACAAGGGAGGCCTGTGATTATCCTGGTTTATGGGGATTGGCAAGACCAGCTTCTCAGCTTTCCAGGCAGGGCTGGAATCCACATTTAACAAGTACAGCCACCCTGAGTGCCAGAAGGTGAAGAACCTGTTCGGCCAGCTCTGGGGAGCTGCCCTAGTGGAAGTGCAGGCCTAGCCCAATGACCAGAAGAGTAACAACAAAAATATTTTTAAGTGACCGGACTGGATTGATAGGCCACTGACACACACACACCCCCCCCCGTGAACAAATGGAAAGGCCCAAAAAATGACCAAGACCCTCAGAAACTTTTCCAATAACTTCTAAGTGATCCTCTGCATCACCAAAAAAATGAGACCCTTCCTGATCCAGGAGCTAGAACAGGACTTGGTGCAATGATTGTCAGAAGGGACCTGGTTGCTGTGCAGGCTCCGAACTCCCTTTGGGTCCAAAACCCCAATATGGATTTTGAGAACTTTAAGGAAAAGGCTGTGAATGCAATTGGGTCACAAATCTCTAAATGCCAGGAGCAGACACAAGTCAGAATCTTTAGCAGGGGTTACACAGACTCCCTTGTCCTGGCACAGCATACAACAAAACAGCCTGCCTCCCACTCACTCCGCACCTGACTAGACACACACAGACTCTCTGCCCCACTTTTTTTCACCCTGACTCAGGGCCATACTCGAGTGCCCCTTTCCTGGGTCCAGTGACCTTCTCACTCTGCTGTAGCTTAGGGCTCCAGCCTCTTGCCCTACTGCTTCTTTCGTCTCTTCTTCCAATCTTCCCAGGCCAGTGTTCTCCACCCCACCCCTGTCATCTGCTCACTAGATCCAACCATCGCAGAGTCAGAATTAATTCTGTGTCCTTGTTGTGGGGTAGCACTCCCCCTCAGAGTAGTTGAGGTGGGAGGGAGGGGAAATGGGGGAGACAGGAAGGGGAAAGGGATCTGAGGGAGGATCTGTCTCACCAGCTCCACAGTATTGCAATCCCCCAAAAATACCTGTGTTCACATTTTCAGCCATTTTTAGAGACCCAAGAAATATGAAATGTTCAAAAATAGCAGAGATGCATCAAATTGCTTAATCCCTGACCATCTTGGCTAATAGCCATTGATGGACATATCCTCCATGAACTTATCTCATTCTTTTTTTGAACCCAGTTACACTTTTGGTCTTCACAATATCCCCTGGCAATGAAATGCTACTGGTTGACTGTGCATTGTGTGAAGAAGTACTTCCTTATGTTTTTTTTTAAACCTAATTTCATTGGGTGGCCAATACGGTAGGTGTGCTCAACTATCACCTACCAGATTGGATCCAATTCAAAATCTGGCTGGGGAAGGAGATGGTGGTGCCCATTTGATAACTTTTAACCCAGTGGTTAGAGCATTCACTCAGTATGTGGGAGACTTCAGTTAAATTCTTCTCTCTGGCTGAGGGGGGAAAAAGAATTTGAATAGGGGTCTTCCACCTCTCCTGAGAGTGCCTTAATCACTGGGCTATAGGATATTCTGATATGGGTCTCCCTCAATCTCTCCTGTTGAAGTTCCACTGTATAGAAATATTTAAATAGTCAATGGGCCAGAGAGAGAGCGAGAGAGCGTAGGCATGAGACTGACTCTATAGCATAGTAGTTAGGGTACCTCTCTGGGAGGTGGGAGACCAAGCTCCTGATCTAATGATTTTTTAATTACTTTTATAATACACAGCAGAACAGCTTCAACAGGAGAGATTTTTGAATGTGGCAATAATTAGGACAGGCCTAAAGCATTAGAAAAGTTGCATGGTGTAAAAAGACCAATTTAAAATTAGACTAAGTTTCAGGGTGTAACTCTCTAATGAAGACATTCTTAATAAACCAGTTTACATTTTGATTTAGCCTAATTGTGTACTCAACACTTTCGAAAATAAGCACATGTATTTGGGAGGCTGAATCAGGATTTAGAGTCTAAATTTAGGTGGCAAATTTTGAAAACCTGGTCAAAATATTATAAAATGTTCAAATTTTGCAAACTGGAAGAACCAAATATTTTTTTCTAAAGTTTCATTTATAATAATCTTAAGTGTTGCTTGAATCAATACCAAGTTTAAAAAAAAATAACACAGGATTTTTTTTTTAAGTTGACCATGTCCCTTTACCTTGGCTTCAGCACAGCTTTCTTCACATTTAGTTAAATGAGTTTTATTCAGACTTCTTTTTATCAGCTGCCAAAATCCTCTTCTTGGCATAATGAGATCTAGTGATCATGGAATACCATTATTCAGCTGATGTAGTACATACTGGGTTTCAGTTTCCAACTTTGACCTCCAGCTTTAACTCGGCCGTGACACAAAGCAATGATTCCCGGATGCTTACTGTAGTTTTCTGTGACAAATCCAGTGAAAACTAGTTTGCTTTTGTGATGCTGGCAATATTACCCCAAGGGAAAAAGGAAATTTTCTGCCCAGTGCTGGGAAAAAAAAGCAAATGTTGGCAGTTTTATTGTAGGCATGGAATTAATAATTAATCCTTGGAAGTTAAATTAAGCATTAGTCTCTATGTCTAGCAGTACTAAGCTGCATTGCACTGTCTTTATACCAGGCTGGCTTTATGTACCAGCACATTCATGCAACTTTAAATTTAATATTTAAAATAAATATCAGGTTCATATTTTTAAACACAAAGTTCTAAGGGCTATAATGTACCACTTAGGCAAGACCTTAACAAGGAGTCACATGAAGCTATACCACCAGACAGCATCTTAGCTCCTGGATGATCCCATGTGGCTTGCCAGTGAGTGTATATAGAGGGCTATGTTTACAGCTCCTGCTTACCCCACTTCATAGTTCTTTGCACTCTTGAGGAGTCAGGACAAACCCTGTACTTCTGGGGTCTGCACTGCAATTGGAGCTGTGATTGCATCTTGGATAGACATATGTGCATTAGCTTTAATCACGAGTTCAAGTAGCAGTGACGGTGTGGTAGTAGACGCTTCAGCATGGGCTGTACGAGCCCACCCAGAATCCTAGGTATGTAGTCGTGTTGCTCACCTGTGCTGAAGCCCATGACACTGTGTGTCTTCACTGCTATTTTGAGCAATGCTAGACAGATTGCAGTGTAGGTAACCTATACGTGGGGAGTGTGACGGGGTCCCCGCGGTGCAGCCTGGCATCATGGGACTGCTGTGCCCCCTTAAGTCTCCAGCCTGGGCTGTCTCTCACAATGCTTTGCTAGTGACAAGCAGCAAACCCCTCCAGGCGCTGTTATCACTCAGCACAACTGCATGTGGAGCCCCCACCCAACTAGATTGCATGAATGCTCCCAGAGCCACTCAGGAATCACACAGAGACAAGCACCAGCCAAATCCCCCCACTCATTCCTTGTACCTCAGGAATATACTGTCTTGCACTGCTCAAGACCCTTTCTTGAGCAATACAAGTTTATTAATCAGTTCACCACTTCATCTATCAAAAGTGGACATACACAAGCCTTTGTAACCTGAGCAGATTTACCAAGCACTTCAGGCAAACTCACTGGTAAAGATAAACAGTTAAAAAAAGTTTACTGATTACAAAAGATAAATTTTAAGTAATTAGAAGTGATAGGCAAAAAGTCAGAGTGATTACCAAAATAAAATAACATATAAGCACACAGTCTAAACTCTCAATCCTATTAGACTGGACAACATCTAGATTAAGCAGTTATTCTCACCCCACTGGATATTGCAGTTCATAGTACACAGATTTCATCCTTGAACCCTGGGCCAGTCTCTTCTCTTGGAGTCTCTAGTCTTCAGTCTCCATGCTTGCTATGGCGTCTGCACGGGTAACCCAGGAAAAAAGAAGAGAAATTATTGTCTGCAGTTGCTTTCACAGAGGGAGGGAGGAGAGACTGATGACATATACCCAAAACCACCCGTGACAATGTTTTTGCCCCATCAGGATTGGGAGCTTAACCTAGAATTCCAATGGGCAGTGGAGACTACGGGAACTGTGGGATAGCTTCCCACAGTGCACCGCTCCATGAGTCGATGCTAGCCATGGTAGTGAGGACACACTCCGCCGACTTAATGCGCTTAGTGGGGGCATACACAATCAAATGTATAAAATCAATTTCTAAAAATCAACTTCTATAAAATTGACCTGATTTCATAGTGTAGACATACCCTGAGCATCCTTGTTGCTTACAGCATAGGTGTGGGGAGGAGAAAAGATGAAGCATGGGGCACTGTGTTCTGCTTTATACCCTTAGTCCATGTGCTTGGAGAACACAAGTCCAGGCATGTCTAGTGGGCATTGCTGAGTCACCAGGCAAGGTTGAGCAATTTCTCTGGTGAGGCCTTGTGCAAGTGAGTCATTGATTTGTAACTTCCTTGGTGGACAATGGCTGTTGATGGTTGTTCAACACCCGCCCAGGCATTGGTTAGCTCCCTTGTCCTTGTCTGTGGTGATCGAACATCTGGGCAATTCCCCAACTCACAGCATATTTTAGTGACAACCATACAACACAATCTCATAACTTCATATGCATTAATGGTATACATATTTAGGTAGAACAATGGCTTTCAGTGACTCATAACCTTTCCCCTGGTACCTCACATGATATGCTTTATGTGAAATATCACAATTATATATCACTGATGAATATGGGGGTTATAGGGTGCTCCCCCAATGTATAGCCTGTCACAGGGGGCAAGACTCCTTTATATCCTTCTCCCTCCCTGCCCCCCAGCACACTCTATGTATTCAGGTAAGGGGCAGCAAGACTTCAGGCTTAAATGGGCAGCTCATTTAGGGTCTGATCCAAGCCCATTCACATTAACAGTCTTTCCATTTACTTTGTGGGTTTTGGATTAGGCCATTACTTGGGGGACATGTTCTTCATGTGAAATCTGCAGCAGAGGAGTGGAATCCTGACATGGAAACACCACATCCACCAACTGCAGCGATGTGCTTCTCAACTGAGGTACCTAGCATTGGTCACTGTTGGAAGACAAGATACTGGGCTTGATGGACCTTTGGTCAACCCTGTATGGCCATTCTTATATTCTTAAGGAGTTACTGTACTATTGCACCATTGCTGCATTAATCCTCTTGGCCTTTGTGTGTGGGGGAGTGGGAAAAACTCTGTAGAGAGCCACTATATGGGGTGGTACTCTGGGGACCTTCTTTGTGAGCTCTTTCCCCTCCCTTTAAGTAATTACTAGTCCATTCACCCTTCTGCACTAGGCTCATTATCCTAAAAACTGGTTGAACCAGTGCAAAGCTGGCATAAATAAGAGTAGTGAGTTAGTGCACCTCTGTAGTACAGCATGACAAAGTCATGATTTTGCCTATATGAGACTGTATTAAAATAGTGAACATTCAGGTGCAGGGATTAATACTCCTTTGTAACATGAGAAAATGAAGACTTTAATGGTGTGAAAAGACTCTTTGGGATTCTTAAAACCCACAAACTTCCAAGAGGGAAAAAATGTATGCAGTTGTTCTAGCCATGTTGGTCCCAGGATATTATAGAAACAAGGTGGGTGAGGTAATATCTTTTATTGTACCAACTTCTAGATGGGATGACAATAGTCTCAGTCTTCTGCTGGCTGAGTGGTCTCTAGACGGTACTGTGAGACCATGGTAATGGAATGCTATAGCAATTACAATACAAAAAAGACATATAACAAACAAAGTAGTAGTGGTAGTTTTTCTGGCTATGTCCCAGAGAGAGTTATTACTGGTCTATGCACCGTAGAAGGATTAGGCATCTTGTTAGTTTCACTACGAAGCCAAATAAATAGTAACTGAGGCCGAAAATTTTCCCTAAAGGTAGTAGTAATGACAGACACCCTTGATCACAACATAGCCTAACCATTGTGATCAGAATTTACTGTTGGATAACATTAGACTTTTACGTGGCCAGTGAGTTTTACGTGAGTTTCATCCCATCTTACAAACAAGAAGGTCTTTTCCTCCAACTCCTCATCACATCTAGCTCCTCACATTCACACTATGTTTGTTCCCACATTTCTTTCTTTGCCCCAGGCATCCTATTATATAGCTTCTTTTACTGAATCTCCATCTCATGGGGCGGCTCTTACTGTAGAATACACCATGACAGATCAATGCCACATCCACCCAGTTGGGCAATTATGAGGGAGACATCTCTTGATGCCCTCAGGGCCTTACTCGGCACTGAGAAATGCTGTCAGAACTGGCCTCTTAATCATGATATTTTCATACATAATATACCCAAGTGTGTTGATTAATCATGTTACTTCTATGCATAATAGTAGCACACCAAGCTATACACAGAACTTTCAGGTGCATCATACACAAGTTAGTCTGAGGACAGGATGTATTATAGCACTGGACAAGTTAAGACACACTGTAATTTGAAGCACTCCCTTGAGTGGGAGAAAAGATACAAGGAGACAGAAGAGGAACGGTGAACCGAGTAAGTCTAAAACAGTGTTTTATTTTGAATGCAGTAAGCAAGAATTTGGTGGGGTTTAACTGGATTCTTTCCTCAAATAAGCTCACAAAAGTGTCACCACTTCACCATCTTGCTGCTATTCTCTTCTTTCCTTAGTCCTTCCCAAAATTCTGTCTTCTGTTGTCCAGAACGTATTACATTAACTTCAACTCTATCAGTTGGCATTAGGTACAAGAGAGGCTTCTGCCCATCATTGCCATTAATATGCACTGTGTGGGTCAGTACTTAAAATTTAGGGTTTAAGATTGAGATTTTTCCAATAAAGCTAAGGGCGCTAGGCACAAAACTCCCATTAATTCTCAGTGAGATTTGGACATTTAGCTGCCTTATACCCCTTTGAAAATGGTTAGGTTGGCTAATTCTCATGCTGTCTGTTGGACAGCATAACATCCACCAAACATGTTATGTGCCTCCATGATGCTCTGTCCTGTGCTAAATATGGAGCATTACAGGGTAGGATGTCTGTGAGAGATTGGACTGGACACAATCCAGCCATTGGTTTTGATCTGGTAGGGAGGCAGGGGGTGTCTTTTCCATCCTGCAGTCATTGAGTCAAAATTAAAGTTAATTCTCACAGGGAAGTTGATAGGTGTTCAGAGCAGATGACGAGCGGTTGCCCCACTCTCCTCCCCCATTTAAAGAAACAATCACTACTATGTTCAGTTCTTAAGAAATGGACAAGCATTGTGAAATGGAATTTTTTCCCTGTTCTCAAAGCAAAGTCACAAATAGAGCTGAGATTCATTTGGCTTTACACCTGGATATTTATTGTGTAATATTCTGAATACGTAGGTGTATTTATTTTGCTTTCATTCAATTTCCTTATTGGTCATTCCTATGACTTTAACTAACTTATTAAATGTCATTTAAGAAGAACAATTTGCTAACTTAATGCCTGGATCTGGTACAGTGAAGTCACTGCAATGCTATATACCACGAAGCTGTTTTTCAAATGGTATCTACTACAGGTTCCTAGACTCTGATTACAATGCACAGAATTTAATTTTATAAGCAGGAAATTAACTATGATGATTACTCACAGGTCATTTATATTAGATCTTAGCAGAAGGAGGTCATTTTGGCTGCAACATGGTATTTAATAATATTGCTTGTGTTATATTGAATATAATTACTGTATCTAACTAGTGAGTGCATGCAGTTACAAGAGCTGTGGATGCAAACAGGTACTTGATAGTAAAATTTTCAGTTACTGCTTTACCTAAGAACATAAGAATGGCCATACTGGGGGGGACTAATGATCCATCTGGCCGAGTATTCTGTCTTTTCACAGTGGCCAATGCCAGATGCTTCAAAGGGAATGAACAGAACAGGGCAATTATCAAGTGATCCATCCGCAGTCATCCGGTTCCAGCTTCTGGCAATCAGACACTTAGGGACACCCAGAGCATGGGATTGCATCCCTATCTTGGCTAATAGCCATTGATGGACCTATCCTCCATGAATTTCTCTAATTCTTTTTTTAACCCAGTTATTGTTTTGGCCTTCACAACATCCCCTGACAATGAGTTCCACAGGTTGACTGTGTATTGTGTGAAGAAATACTTCCTTTGTTTTAAACCTGTTGCCTATTAATTTTATTGGGTGACCTCTGGTTCTTGTGTTATGTGGAGGAGTAAATAATACTTCCTGTTCACTTTCTCCACACCAGTCATTTTTGTGTAGTTCCCCTTTCTGAAGTTGAATGCTACTGTGGAAGGGTTTCTTTGGTATTCCCTGCTCCCCAAGGATGTTAAATTTAATTATATTATGGTCACTATTACTGAGTGATTCAGCTATATTGACCTCCTGGACCAGATCCTGTGCTCCATTTAGGATTAAATCAAGAATTGCCTCTCCTCTTGTGGATTCCAGGACTAATTGCTCTAAGATGCAGTCCTTAATGGTGTCTAGAAACTTTATCTCTGCCTCCAGTCCTGAAGTGACATGTGCCCAGTGAATATGGAGATAGCTGATTTGTGCTGCTCTGGTGGTGCAAAGCATTTGTAAAGACAACCATGTGGCTGGGGATTTCCCTAATATAAGGGAAATTCCTTAGGTGACAGACCTAAAGTAATGGTCCTGTGTCATCTGTTCCCCACACATTAGCACTCACTTGCTACTTCAATGGACCTTTGGAGATTGTTGCAGCTGGGCACAACTTAGAGCAACTCACATGCTTCTCTGAGTTGCACCAGGGGCGAAACCAGCGATAGGTGATCCCAGAATCAGATGGCAGCACCAGCATAGCTGAGGCTCTACTCCTGTGTGAGCAAGTGACCAGTTGGGTATCTAATTGGCCATTTGTATTTGCAAATATGAAATTTGCACAGGGTG